AACACCTTGCCTTGAAAACTGCAGGGACTCGTCCAGGCAGTCGCCGCAGAATCGGTCACGAATGAGTGTGGATAAAAAAAAAAAAAAATCTATGATTGCTATTCTAGATGAATTATCCATCCACTAAAACACAGATGAATAATTTGAGGCTCGTAAGGCTATATGCAACCTTGGAGATCTTGAGTGCGGTCCACCATGAGTGCCTCAGTCCCTGAACTGCCTCTTGTTACTTAACTATTTGATGAGCTGGAAAAGGATATTTGTCCTGGTGTGGTGGTGCATTAAAACGATGTCTTCTCTATCCAATCTCCTCTGGGGCAGGGGAGGAAAGGCACAGAGCATGCATTCATACACACCACCCTCCCAGGTAAATAGTACACTTTCTAAGCTTCCTAGTTGGCTGGTGCTGGGGAAAATACCTATCAACAAGGAAAAGGGGAGAAGAGATGCTCTTCCTGAAACCACCCTTCCATAGTAGGGTGAACTACTATGGCCTTCTGAAAGTTGCTGGTAAAATATAATTGTTATTACAACAGAAGGAAAAAAAATACGTAGGGAGCAATCATTCACAATTCATACAAAACCATTAAAAAATCATATGAAATCATATGAAAAGTTCCTAGAGTATTCTCTACCCTGGACCTGAACTGACACTTGATACGCTATTCAAAAGCTAAGCACTACATTGTTTTCACTGAGAAATCCTCTGAAAAGTTTCAAAACTATTAGCTGTAGAAAGAAGAAGTTTGTTCATTTCCTTCCTGTGTGCATCCCAGTCAGATTACGTGGTGTCGGTGGTGGGATGGAGAAATGAATGGGTCTCTTTTTCCTTCTGTTGTTAAAAGAGGGGGAAAATGATATATCCGTTTCTGCACCCTCAACACACTGCTGTTTGTAAAATGGTACACTGTACAATGGCAAACATGTCCCTATTTATTTATTATTTAGATGAGATAAGGCAGGATGATGGGGCAGGAAGATGGAAAAGGCAAAGAGGTGGTGGTGACTCCAAATACCTCTCACCCAATACTCCTTCAATGCAAAAATGCCAATAATCTCCATGTCATCTGAATCTTTTGAACAACAATGGAAAGGAGCCCAAAATATAGTGATAGAACATCTGTTCCACAGGTTCAGTCCATGCCATCTCCAGGCAGACCTAGGAAATAGCCCTGTCTGAAGCTATAGAGAGCTGTTTCCAGTGATCATAAACAATTCTAGCTCACTGAAGTAGTGGTTGGCTTGATGTAAAGGACTGAAATTGGGCCTCCTGAATGCTTGAGGGCACTTCATAGCCTAGAAAAACTGGACGTGGAACTTGACATTCACAGAAACCATACTTTGCTTCTGAGTGACCTTGGCTCCAGGGATTTTACACTCTTGACCTACCATACTGTTATCTGATTGCCTTTTAATAAGCTTCTCTCACTCCAATCTGTCATCAGAAGTAGACGGACTCATTGTATGCATCTGTGATTAATTAATAGGTACATTACATTCCAGTACTATAAGTTACCACTATTACAGGGCAACAGTTGTCCTTATTCCCATCCTGTATTCACAAAAGTCCCCAAAGTATATCTTATGAGTTGTACTATGTACCAGCAGCAGAAATCTGTGCTTCAGGTGCTTGCTAGGCTGGATGCAGCCATACTGGGGTCCTTCATTATATATTGTGCCAGTTGGATCAAAGAACGGGACATAGCCATCCTTCCCTGTGCACAGATACACTTTTTCCAGCTGCAATTTGTAGGCAGAATTGAGGTTTTGCTCTGGGTTCCACATCACCCGGCCATACAGGATTTGACCTGAGTAAAGAAATACATTGATATCAGCCTGATGCCATGAATTTTGTCCAAAAGGACAAGCATAAAGAGAAGTGTGTCCTAGTCCTCATGCTAGCAAGAAAATGGCTGCACTATTCAAGGTTTTGCATTGTGATAGAAGATGCTGGGGAACAAGAAGACGCCTTGAACCTGTGCATGCCAAATGTTCCCAGCTGACCCCCTGACCATATGTTGGTGTTGCAAATCCCCCAATTCCCCTGCCAGCATGACCGTTGGCTTGGAATCCTGGGAATTCTATGACCACATCAAGTTGGCCTCCCAACCAATTCTTGAAATCTTGAAGCAAGGTATTGTTGAAGGCTTTCACGGCCGGAATACGATGGCTGGTGTGGTTCTTCTGAGCTGTGTGGCCGTGTTCTGGAAGTTTTGTTTCCTAATGTTTCGCCAGCATCTGTGACTGGCATTTTCAGAGAGCAGGAGCACAGACAGGAGCAGTTCTGAGCACAGAGAGAAACAAAATTTCCAGAACACGGCCACACAGCCCAGAAGACCCACACCAGCCATCTTGAAGCAAGTTTGAATGAAAAGAGGCAGAGTTTAAGTTCAGTTGAAGCATTCTGCAAAATATGCAGCTTTCCATAATCATTTCTCAATGTTTAAAATATACAGTACATATTTTAAACATTACCGCATCCTGCTTTATAGTGTATATATACATATATTAGACATATATTAATATATTAAGCATGCATTAAACATTACCCCATCCTGCTTCATGGGATATATATACATATATTTAACATATATACATATGTTAACCTAAATACATACATTAAAATATTAAGTATCTATTACACATTACCCTCTTGCATTTAAGGAAGTTTACTCACATGGCTTCCTGCAAAACATACTGCTAAGCAAGAAACTCTAGGAACTATAGTTTAATAAAATAAACACCATATCAATCTTAGAAGGGTCCTTCTAAAATCTCCATGTATCATCATTCTCAGGTCTGCAGAGGAACAGGACCCAATGTTCTAAAAAGGGCAGCTATGAACAAGCCGGGGTCTGCAGGACGCTTCCAATGCATTCCATTAAGCTTTTATGTGACCCTAGCGGATTGCTGGTCATATACGTCTTCCATCTTTTACTGAAATAAAGGGGCCCAGAGAAATACCCCTTGTTTACCCTTCTTTGCTTTTCATATGCCACTGAAGGGGAACTGCTTTGTTTGACTTCCCCGTTGTGTCCGGATCGGCTGAACACCACACCTTCATGATATTTGCCTTGCTATAAAAATTGCTCTCTGGAAGGAGGGTATTAGGCCCTTCTAGTTAGCTGTTGTTTCACTTACGTTGCAATTCAATCTAGTGTATTTTCACGCAGCACATTTCTTTCATCCTCCCTGGTGTTTTCTTGTGATTCACTTGGAGAGCTGCATACCCCGTTTAAATCTGAAACACAAATCATACCCTTGGAAAAAGCTCCCTTGTAGTCCATCTCGGCCATTGACATTTCAGATTTAGTTGGGTCCATGAGAAATACTTTCTCATTATTGCAGAGCTGAAACTCCGTGTTCAGGGAGTACACGACAGGAACTGGCCGGTTAGTCTGCTGAAAGGCAATTGGGATCAAAAATCTAAACGGGGAAGAAAGGAAATAAAGAAATAAGATTAATGAAATAACAATCCCAGAGTATTATTTCCCAACTTCTCTTTGAGAGCTCAAGGAAGTATATGTGGTGCATTACCTAAATGTTATCCCCTCTGGGCTTGTCCTCCAGGAACAGCCCCAGAGAAAAATCAGCTGTTCTGCCAAATTCCCAGCAATTAACAGTTAAAAAAATCTCTTTGCAGTCAAGAGGAGACAGATCTTGCATCTCCAAGCAAACCACCATCTTCCTCTTATTTGAGAAGGATTGAGAGAGAGTGATTGGTCCAGAATTACTATCATCAAGTAGGTTATTTAAATGGACCTATTTTCTGGGTTCACAAAATACACCAAACCACAATCTAAGCAAAACAGGTTAAGTTTGCACAATGCACTAAGTCGCTGAAACCAAGGCTGTAACTCCTCAAGCTGAGTGTGGTGCGCAAATGCATCTTCCAGGTTTTATCCTGATCTGGTTAAGTATGCTATAGTGTAGTGAAGTTTATGGGTCAATCCAAAAGTCATTCTAGGTCTGTTTCAACTCAAGTAATGTTGACATTTCAAAATACCTTCAGGAGGACTTCAGGAAATCTGAAAATAGGTTTTCTATCAGGACATATTACTTGAAGCCTACTTGGACAGAACTTTGGACTCGCTAATAGTCCTGGCAAAGTCCTGGCAAAAGGAGATTAACATTTCAAAGCCAAGGAAACAGAGTTCCAGTTTTCCCAACCTAGCTCCTTCCAGGGCAGTGAAAGTGCCTAGCATTCTCACCACCTTGAAGATTGCCATGTGAGCACACACCACTATTTAATTAAGCAACCATGAACTCGGAGAACATAGAGCAAAAAACAGTCCTCTTAAACAAGAAAATCAGTTGTATGTTAAGAGAAATATACTTACCAAAAACATCTACATTCAGTAGGTTCCAAGAGACACCTTAGTTTCATGGCCAGCTGCTTAAGTCCCTCTGCATGGCTTTTAGTAACCTCCCCACCATCCCCAAGAACAATCAAAATATTTTCTCTTCAAGAAACAGCAATGTCTTATCTGCATAGACCTTCTTAAGTAAACTTTGCTTACCCCACCTAAGTAATCTGTGTTTGCTAGGAATCCCAAACATCCTGATAAGTGAGTTAGGAATATCTGGTCTGTAGGACAAACTCAGGGCAGATCAATGCTTTTTCCTCGTCCCACAGCCAGCCTGGGCCACTCACCACTTCTTGAGTGCTCGAGTGGATGACACTGTCCCCCGCTACTCCCAGCCCATTGCAAATGACCCCCGCCCATATTTGTAAGTTCTGCTCCAAACCTTTTGTGGTCCTACCCTGTCTTCAGCCCTTCCAAGCAGATGGTCTGCTTCCTTCTGATCTAGTGATAGCCCCAACTCCAAATGGCGATTGCACCTGGCATGCCCCCTCCATTCCAGTGGCTGGTTATTATTATTTATTAAATTTCTCACCCGCCCATCTCCCCCCAACGGGGGAACTCTGGGCGACTCACAACAAACATTAAAAACATAAACACACCCCCATGCTTGAGATATTCCCTCCCCACCCCAGGCCAAGTGGCAGAACCAGGTCTGGTTGCTGCCCTGCTCAGCCATTTTGTCCTAAGCTATCATGCTTTACTTTTTTAAAAATTATTTTGCAGTTCATCCGATGATGGCCTGTTAAATCAATGAACTTGGTTCTTTCCCCTGTGTTTTCCCACCCTCTCCAGAAGCTCATAGCTCCATTCAACCCCTATATCCCCCAGGAGACTCCCTTTTGGTTTCTGTTCAGGCTGGGTGAAGCATGCTCTCCTTGCTTCCCCAGTCCCTACCACAGCATTGCAAAGCTTTCCTTTCTCATTTTTTCTCCTTAAATCTTTAATGGCAGAGCAGACTCGTTGGAATGAAGCTACACAGTTTTAATGAATGCTATTTTGCCTTGATGGAGCCGAAGCATCAGTTCTTCCTCGCGGTAAAGATTCTATGGATGTATATTTGAATGTAGGAATGAAGGAACAACCTGTACCCTTTGAATATTACACCATCAGATCAATAAAAGTGCAATATGGGGGAAAGGAAAGAGTCTGTGTTAGTGACAAAAGAGAGAATGTGGGAAGGGAATGTGAAGAAGACATGTGGTGGCTGAACTAAGCACAACCTGGCCCAGGGACAAACCACGGCAATCCAGATTGGAATTTTTAAAGCTGGCTTCAGGAGCAGCAGCTTAGTCTCCCTTGGTGAATTGTCCTTAGGGCAGCCCTGTTAGAGGATCAAAGGAAGTCCTGAAGACAACACAGTTAGGCAAATCCAGGGTTAAGGTAACATTTGAGGTGTTACAAATGGCATGTTTTCCCACCTACATCATAGTGCCTTCTCTTCTAATCTTATGAGTCTGTCTTCCCCCAACTTTAAAAATAACATATTTTGCCCTGACACAACCTTCTCCAAGTTGGACTTCGACTCACATCACCCCCAGATCATCACCATTAGCCAACTTGGTGGGGAGTCACATCTGGGAAGACTGCCTTCAGAGAATATATGATCACATCTTCTAGTGCAACGATAGGCAACTCAGAGCACCCCAGATGTTGCACAACAATTTCCAGAATCTGTACCCAGCATTGCCAATGATGAGGGATTTTGGAAATTGTGGCTCAGCAACTTCAAAGCCAAGTTTATGTGACACATTTTACTAGGGCAAGGAAAGACTCAACAACTGCATTTATCCAACAAGCTGAAGTAGTTAGCTTTAACTTTGGTTATTTTGGGGTGGTATAAATGTGTTAGTATAAACTCAGCATGTTTGCTTAGTTAATGATCCAATCTATTAACTGAACCCAGAAAGATGGGTTAATTTGGTAACAGGCAAGTATGTTGTGTGAAGCCAGTCCTTGAGTGCCACCCAGCTCATCTAACACATGCCTCCTTTTTACCCCTGAAGCAAGGTAACCCATGCCATCTCCCACCCCTCACCACCAGCTGTCCCCAATCTGCCCCTTTCCTTATGCTTTGGGAGAGTCTCAGATTGGGGAAGGTTGCAACAGAACATTGTTCAGTAATAGCAAACACTGTAATCATCAAACTATCACTGGCGTGCAGAAATCCAGACATCCATTAGATGATAGCAAAGAGTTGGTAATTTTAATCACCTTCCAACTGAAAGACCTATGTCAAAATTCCAGCATGGATTATAAATTTAAAAAAAAGGGGGGGGAGCTGAAAGAGAAAAAAAATCCTCCAGTCTCACTTCACCTGTTTGATCAGAAATCATGCATTTTTGCTAGCTGTTAATAAACAAAATAAATGAATGAAGCTTTGTCTTAAACACAGATTTCCATTTTTGCACTAGTCCTCAGCAACCAAGAAATCTATGGACATTAACTTAGATCATTCATCATTCATTTTAACCACCCTTGGTTCAAAAATGGGCTGGATCCAAGAAAATTGGAAAAACACTGCATCGTAGACACAGCAAATCCCAAAATTTTAATTGCTAACAAAGCTACAGGACTAACGCCCAAACAGGCAAAGTGACAGTAGTAAAGATGTTTTACATTGTTCTGCTCATGCATTTTTTAAAAGAATATATGGAAAAAAATCCCTTTGAAATTTTGTCTAAGTTGGTCTTAGAAATCACGAAGATTGCCTGTATAAACATTTAGAGGTTTTTCTTCTTCTCCCCCATTCTTTTGGTTGGTTTGCTGGTGAATCAGTGGGAGCAAGCCGTGTGCCATGTGGTTGGACATAATCAAAACAAGCGTATACACCCCAACCTGAAGCTTGGCACAAAGGAAAGGCAGTGACCTTAGGATCACAGCTTTAAAGTTACTCTTCCCCCACTCAGCGCTGGCTTGTCAGAAGCCACACTGCACTGCCAGCCAGAAGCAGTTATAAGAATGCTGTCAGTGGCATCTGATCTAAGCAAAATGAATGTACAAATAACAAGAGAAATCTGCCCGTGTTTTCCCTACAGCATCAAAAAGAATATCTCAGGAATTATAATATTTCTGAACCTTCACAGGAGAACTCTGTTTCCCCTTCCTTTTCAATTATTGCCTATTTGTCTTTGTCATTTCTTTGAATGGCAAACAAATCAGGGACTGGGTTTTTTTTTTTTTTCTATTAGCAATTTATCTTTGTTGGAACATACAGAAGGTTTCCATATTTAATAACAGTATTAGTAAACAAGGAGTGCAGCAATGAAAGTAACTTGCCTACAAGGCAACAGAATCCTATTTCCTTGAAGATCTGATTTAAATTAATGTTTTACACTTGTATTCCAGGAAAAGCTATGTTATTATAGCTGGAGGTGGCAGCAGGGGGGTTGCAGAGAGGGAGAGAAAGGTGTGAGGATGTGCAATGTGTGCATAAGAGTTTGTTAACCCCTTGACTCTCTGCATCGTTTCCACAGCGGGAAGACACATTCGCTCTTTGAATAGCTGATCAGTACTCATTCAACGTGCTGAAAAAAGGATGTGCCTTCAAAACGTCTTTGAAAGAAAGAGAATTTCACAGAAAAGGCCATGGGGGGGGGG